TCGTCTTGTTGCAATGATGGACGCGGTCCCTGATTCTTAATCTAGACTCAAGTTGTTGATGAACTACTACTCTGATCATGGCTCAGTACTCATGAGCCAGCTACAACAGCTAGAAGGCAACAGCTTCCTCAAGTCTAGTGTGAACATCATCATATGTAATTTGTAAACGTGAACCATAATAATCTGTAATGTAAAGTGGATCCAGGGCTAATCTAATACTGTATTGTAATCACATTTCCTGGAGTGGGTTACTTAATAAAACTTTGATGGTTTGGCTTGCTCAGGATTCTAGTACACATTCTTTCCTAGCTTCCCTGAAACTAGTTTCAGGGAAGTTTTTTTGGATCATCCTACTATGTGATGAAAAATGTCACAAGGAAAGCTTGCAAACATGTAATGCTCATAAACGGCTAGGTAAATACATGTTTAAATAGGAACTCTGTTTTTAAATAGTCTGTTTGTCAAATATACTATGGCTTTTGAAACAAATATCTTGATAGATTACAGTCAGGATTAGAGGCAATTCAATGGCAGTCTGAGCTTTTCCTGAAGACAAAGTTCTCCACGACGAAGCCTGTGCATATCATAATACATTCATTTGATAGATGATATGCAAATATTAGTTGACTGATGTTCGAGGTGGCTTGGAGCAATAAACAGGGATGGAAAATGTACCTCATATGTTTGATCCATGACTGAAAAACAAGCAGCTTAGGAGAAGGCATCTGGCGTACAAAAACTTAACAGAGCAGCATTCGGAGCCCATCAAAACATGGAGCTGTGGCTAAGCGTCTAGTTGCTAAGCAACCCACTTCAGACATTCAAAAACACACTTGTAAAAGTTGAATACTCATGCCAACTGCTGCTACTTCTCATCTTGTTGGGGAAAAAAATGGGTATGAAAATAGTAGGCATTAAAAAAACCCTTTGCCAGTGAGATGTTTCTCCTGTGACATTTTTACCTTTAAACTCTTTTTCATGTTTACAGTATTCGCCATGAACAGTGATTCATTCTCTTTCCAATGCTATTACGTGAGGACCAAGGACATTTCTTAATTACCAAGCATCATCTCTTCTTCCCAGAAAGAAGGGGAGACAAGTATTTCCTAATGAAGCCTTCTAATGCCTAAACAACTTCTCCAATTCCTCCAATGAATTTAAAATGCACAATTTAGACTGGAGTTTACATAACGCAATATATCAGATGAACAGAAGCTGTGATGGTTTATTTCACTAAGGATAAACACAGGCCAGGAATGCTATGTCATCATTTCACCAGCTGCAAAATTGGCAGCACTTGTTCACATTCAAAGGAAATATCCATAGAAGGAGGAGAAATTTAAACAGAGAGAGGGTATGTGAACATCTACATCAGTGATAGGGAACACATTCTTGAACTACATTCACTACCATCCCTCCCTATTGACAGTGTTGCTAGGACAGATGCAACTTGCAGTCCAACATTCCCTAGTTCTGCTCTATAGGCTACTGTAAATCTGAAACTGCTTTAGTGTAATTGTTACCGTTATAGCCCAACATCCCTCCACTGAGGATAAGACAGTGTCCCTGGCTCTTCTCATCTGCAAGTTATTCTCACAAAAGCCCTGTCATGAGGGGGGTGGGAGAAAGGGGGGGAATTGTGCAATCCTTGAACATAATCCAAAGACAACCATAGGTGATAACCTTTTCAGGCCACTAAAAAAAATCACAAATGTGATTCAACCTACACTGGTCTTCATCAACCACTGGGTTGTGGATGGTGCAGAAAAAAAACACATGAAAGTTTCAATAATCATGGTAGAAGGCTATGCCAGGCCTCCTCCTTGAAAGTCAGCTTCAAAATGCAGGCTGCAAATGTATATCACCACAACAGGTTTCAAATCCCATTCCGGTGGCTATTGATTGGATTGTTTTCCCCAGCATACTGAAGAAACGGATGCCGAGGTATTGAGCAATCCCCACTTCCCCGATTTTCAATGCAAGGCCTTGCCTTCGGATCTGTAAGGTAGGTCAGGTATAAAGTGTGTGATTAGCCTAAGACCATTGAATAAGGGTCATGGTCAAGTGGAGATTTGGACCAAGGTCTCTTGGGCCCTAGTTCAACATCTAGTATATTCCTATTGTCACTCAATCTACATTTATCATTTGCCCTTAAGCGGTCAAAAGACTTGGTGCTAGGAGAACAATACCTATCAGCCGTCATTCCTAAAACCAGTTGAGGCTTCCAACCTGTGCTATGAGCATTTATTTCCACTTTGCTTCTACAACTGAAAAAACAACAACAACTGAGTTGTGCAATATAACCAATACAAGTTTTCATTGCCAGGTGGTGCAGTATGATTTCTATGAGGGAATCCACATAGAGTTCTTCCTACACAGGATTTGGATTTAAGGAATGAACCAGAGAGTTCCTACCACCAGTCATACACATGCACCAATCCAGCCTATATAAGGGAGAAAAATGTCTTCCTTAGATACAAATGTTAGTCCCAACTGAAGTAGACATTAAATCAATGGGTCTTTAATTAATCAGCATGTACACAAAGCTCATTTATTCAATGGATATATTCTACTCAGGACCAGCAACTGGATTAAGTCTGATAAATTTGAAAGAGAAATTGTGGAGTACTTCCATGACCTTCCCCATTTTGATTACCTTTAAAAGTTTCTGCAGAATAGGAAAATAGGATAGCTAGCTGCTGATGTTTCAGCTTGAGGAGAGGGACAAAGCAAGTAACTTTTAAAAAAGTATCTGAAGAGAATATGGAGTATGGTTTGGGGAAGTTTTTCTCTAAGGATTCCACCTAATATTTTCCAATTCCATCTGCCTTTATACAGCTCTGGGCTGAACCTGGAAGTTGTTTCCAGTTGTGTGTGCTGAAGGCTGGAATTGAGCAGTTTTAGTCATCTACAGCAGGAACCCAGAGGACAAGTGCAGCACGGCAGGAACATCATACTATGTCCGGTATTTAGAATAACAAACAGGCTCGGTGTTGTTTTTCTCCTTACCTCCTTCACTGGAGCAACGCATTCCACAAACTATCCTAAGCCTCTTTTTTTCTGGCAGTGTCTCAAGTGACGATGCAGCAGAGGAAGGGAAATCTAATGGAAAGTTATGTGGATTCCCCCCTCCTCCCCTTGAATTAGAGAAGGAAAAGCTGAAGAACCCACTAAAGAGGGCATTTTGTGTCCAAAAGTTCCCATTGAATAAACAGTGTCACATGCCCCTTGGAGCCAACCCTCTGGAGGGGTGCAGCCAATGCCTCTCAAGTATCCTTTAGAACGCATCCAAAAAAGGTGTGTGGATAACACTTGCCAGCTCAGAACTCTAACGGATTAAGGGACTGGTTTCCATCCTGAGGATAATTAGGCATTGCAAACCCCACCCTTCACCTAACCTGGTGCACTACTTTTCTGCGGCTGTGTTTACATGTGGTTTGAATTTACGTCCGCCTCTCTTGAGCCACACATGTTGTGCCTCTCCAATTTTATTGCTACTTTCTTTTCATGCTGGAAATGCCATGTTAAATTACCAGAAACTAGGCAGGGAAGCTGAGAGCTCCCTGAGGTCTATATCACACATTTTGTTCCCAACAGATCTTAACTGCACCAGATTTGGATTTGATCCAAAGGCAGTCATTCATAGCTCTTCAATTTCTTTGTGTCCAGCTGATAAGAGGCGGATAATAATCAGAAAGTATCTAGAAAAACAGAACAGTAACACCATCTGATGGATAGATTTGCTAATCCATGACCAACCTTATTACTTAACATTGGCTTTCCGCGCAGGTTTCACTACAGATATAAAGTGCAATGATGTTTAACTTGAGCTATGCTGGATCATCCACAGAGGGAAACAGTGCATTTCCATTCAGGCCTGCCATCAAACTCATCAATGGGAAATACTTACTGGTTTGCTCCATTGTCAGACAGAAGGTAAACAGTGGAACTCTCACACATTAAGGTCTCCCTAAAAGTAATTCTGGATGAACCAGAGTTTCATAAACACCTTAAAAGGAATGCCTATGATTGCAGGTGATGTGATGGCATGCAGGTGGCAGAAGGACCCTTGAGGGGCATTATATAGGCAATTAGTAACAGGACTTTATCTCACTACTGCCAAGTATCAGCAATGACACTAGCAGAAAAGGTCACACATACAGTACTTCCAGCTACCTTTGTGGAACTTGAACGCCACAAAAGGAGGCAATGGATTCATCAGGCATTTTGGAATGTACAATTTAAATAAAATTACTTGGGAAACATATTGTAGGCAAAAGGGTTCATAAGGATCTGGTTCTACTGCAATGGTATTGTACTTCTGCAGCATCTATATATACGACCCTAATGCTTAGTGACTACTGTTTTTGGCCTCTATGATGCATGTCAGTGTCACCAGCGGTCTGTGGCTAAGGCAAAATGAGTGAGAGAAGATGCCACATGTGAAAGAGATACAGTACTCTTCTGAACTTTTTGTTTGTAGGATACTTTGTATATCAAAAGAATGTACAAAGAATTGTGACAGATCAGACCAAAGGCCTATTTAGTAGCCATTCTTCTGCTCCCAGTGGCCAACCAAATGCCTGCTGGAAGCCAAGAAGCAGGACATGAATACAACAGCACCCTCTCTGCCGGTTACCAACAGATACTTTGAAAGAAATACTATTATATATGCAAATAATGAAACCTGATGTAACACCATATCATTAGCACTTAAATTAATGGTGGAAGTGGGTGATGTTTTCAGCAACACTTCTGGCTGTCTGGGCAAGACCTGTGAAATATTACTCTATATGCAACCAGAGAGGGATTGAAACAAGAGGTCTTCAATAGAAGGAATACAGTCAAGGGTTCATGAAGCCCATTAGAAGAGCCCATGGGTAATCAAGTTCAACACACCTGCTGTGAAGCAGAAGAATGATGCTGAAGGTGGAGGACAGAGCTCCAAAAGCTGGGGGCTTGCAGGGGATCCCTCAGCTACATCTTCCTCCCAAACCTACCTCACGGGTGAAGAGGATGGCAGCATCATAATGTTCCTCATGTTCATCATCCAGCTGGTTGTGTTGGTGCTGCCACTTGCAGAAGTTCTTGAGGGTGGTGGCAGCATTCTTGTTGACCTCCAACCCTTTCTCCTTGTTCCCCAGTACCACCACCTTCACCACCACCAGTCGGATGTGGTTCTCAATGCTGGCATGCCCGTAAAGCCGGGAGGCAATGGTGGCCAAGGTCAACAGGTAGTGATGGAGGCCCTTGCCATACTTCTTGGCCATGGAGTCATCTGCCACCAGGAGAAGCTCCACCTGGCGGGCCCTGGAGACCGAACGCCTCTTTCTGGAGCCAGCCAGCGGGGCAAAGATCTGAGAGGCGAGCGCCGCCCTGGTGGTGAGATCCGTCTCCACTTCCTCGCCCGGCTTCTCGCCCAGTCTCTTGCGCCCCAGCAAAGGAAGCTTGGAGGCGCCTTGCGTCTCGCAGCTGGGCCGGGAAGGCAAAGTCTCGAAGCTGAAATGGTCCCTGAAGAAGAGATGTAGCACCCGGGCAGAGTCATCGCCGTAGACCCGCTCCTTCGCAGGATCCTCCCCCGCCGCTTGTCCCGACCCCAGCAAAGGCTTCACCGTATAGCGGGCGTGCTTGACCGCAAAGTAGCCGTCCAAGCCGCCGCACAGGTCGAAGACGGCCAAGGACTGGGGGCTCCCGTCCACCGTGCCCCGGTAATAGCAGCGCCCCTTGCCCCGCAGCAGCTGCGCGGGGGAGCCGAGCAGCGCGTCCTTCTCCAGATCCAGCAGGAAACGCCTCCCCCCCAAATAGAGGAGGTAACCCACCTTGCCGCCCCCGGAGTAGGTCCGGTCGATGCTCTCCACAATGCCGCCGGCTCGGTACTCCTGGGGGGGCTCCCGTCCACCGTGCCCCGGTAATAGCAGCGCCCCTTGCCCCGCAGCAGCTGCGCGGGGGAGCCGAGCAGCGCGTCCTTCTCCAGATCCAGCAGGAAACGCCTCCCCCCCAAATAGAGGAGGTAACCCACCTTGCCGCCCCCGGAGTAGGTCCGGTCGATGCTCTCCACAATGCCGCCGGCTCGGTACTCCTGGGGGAAAGCGGG